TTTCCATTTCAATTTCCAAAGCTTGTATTGATACAATCATGTTCTTGTTTAACTCTTCCGATTCATGTAATTTAAGTTTTAGGTCTTTAAATTCCAATTCTAGTCTGTTATTTTCTTGCTCCCCACTCAACTGTTCGTCTTTGTGTTTCTTTATTAAAAATTTTCTATTATTTTAACCTGAAATTCTAGTTTCTGTTGAAGTTTTTCTTCCGCTTCGACAGCCATATCTTGGCAGCTTTTTGAGCCTCTTTGCAGTCGCAGAATGTAGTTGTCCTTTTCAGTTAATTTTTTGTTTAGTTTTGCGCACACTTGTTCCATGTTGTCATATTTTCAGTCATATCTTCAATTTGTTTATCCTTTTCCACCAGTTCCTCCTGTATTCTGTTGTATGATTTTTCTAAACTATTTAGGTTTTTTATAGAGTTCAAAAGGTCATTTAGACATTCTGTGCAGTAGAAGGTGACTCTCAATGACCTATTAACACAGATAGACAGAACAATAAACAATAATATCGGTTGACTACATGCCAGGAACCGCATCTCTCCCCACTACTTATTAATCCTTGTGTTATTTTGTATCTTTCTCTAACACGTGGAAAGCGATTATTTTTCAATGGAAATTAGCAACGCTGCAAAAAAATAAATCCCACCTCGAATTCCACCTTTCCACCAATCAGCGGCTTCTATTCAATAGTCATGTCAAAATGTGACCTGCAGGTATTTTATGACAATTTCCATTTGTCAATCGGTGCGCAGTGAGTGTATCCGCATCTTTTTCTAAAATTATGTAAAATATAAGGATAAAGATACACTTTTGTAGCACTGATTCTGGTTTCATTTTCAGAGTTGCCAAGTATGCGATACTAATGGCGTTTCCGATTGGTAGATTTAGTGCGCACTGAGTGTATTTGCATCCTTTTAATCGACCTGTAGAAGAAAAAGACGGAAATAGAGAAAATTGCACTAGTTCTGCACTAGATCTACCAATCGGAAACGCCATAAAATGGAGGCGGAGTTAGCGGAATCATTTGAATCCCGACTCCTAGCCGCTCTCACAGCTCACCCCCCCCTGGCCCATAAACATGTAGTCAACCAAAACAAAGCTATTTTATCAATGGGATGTTCTGTCTATCTGTGTTAATAGGTCATTGGTGACTCTCCTTTGGCTCATAACTAAGCAGTCAGCCTCAGTCACTGCAATACCAGAGCAGGTTTTACAGTAACTGCGTTTGCAGAAGTCACAGCCATGTCCAAAGCGCTCATTCTCTTTAGGTCTTCTTTTTAGTACGCATGACGTGTTGCAAGTTACGCATGTTAAATCCATTTTTCACCCTTAGATGTTGCTCATAAAGGTTAAGAGATGCGCACCTTTAATTTCAAAATATCATTTTTCACTCTGCACCATATTCCCCTAATCAGTTCAGAGAATGCAATTTAGTAGTTTTGCCGCTATACAATTGATATTTCTTTAAACACAATGATTTTTGTTGTTTTACGCAAGTTAAAAAAGAGTTTTACTGCTCTTACGTCAATAACTGAAAAACTTACATTTTTCCACACACAATCACACAAAGCACGAACAATTTATTTCACTTATTATTTTTAATTAATATGAATAAATAGAGGAGCGATCAACTGTGCAGCAACACCAATTCAATGCATAGAATGGTTCATGTGTTATGAATTCATAACCTTCTCCATAACACCACTATACTTTATTTTTTTCCAAGATAGATTTTGACATTGTCAACTTTGAAACATAAACAATGCCGCTAATGCCACTTATTGGCCGCTATTGTAAAACTCATGTCAACCTGCAGAAACACCTCATTTTGCGACCAATCAGAGTCAAGCGTTATTGTTTATGTTTCAAAGTTTTCAATGTCAAAATCTATCTTGGGAAAAAATAAAGTATAGTTGTGTTATGAGTAGCATTAAAATTACATAATACAGCTAGAAGCACCTATAATATGTTCTGTAATATTTAGTATTCTCCAACTAGTCCTTTTTTTTTCTTGTAAGTTAAAACCCTAATTTAGTTTAGTTTGTAGCTTAAACACAACTGTTAAAAGGGTTCATCCACCTGTATTAGTTGTTTCAATAAATAAAAATAAAAAATAATAACAAAAACCTAGAACTATATGTTGTATGATAAAGTAAAAATCAAACTTAGACAAGAAATCAAACAAGAAGAAGCCATTGACATCAGCGCTGACAAGTAGTAGTAGTAGTAAATATGCTTTATTGTCCAAGAATACAAAAATCTTATTGACAAAGCTAACCTAACTAAAATTAAATTTTACAAGTAAACCTAGAAGCCAACAAGTCAACAATATCAATCAAATCAAAATTACCATAGGCAATAATTTACAAAAATAATAAATACATTCATTTATCCCATTTTGACGTTTAAAAATGACATTATTGAACGCATAATAACAAAGGTAAGTAGACGTTTATCACCTGAGTGATTTAAAATATTTTTAACTCACTCTCGGTCTTTTAAGTCACTCTGCCAGTACAAAAATCTGCTACAAATACAAACAAAAAACTAGCAATATCCTAGCAACTACCAGTTTCAATAGGCATTAGACATTAGCGCTCGCTGAATGAATTCTTTTTATAATTTGATTCCTATTGAGTACTGAATTTTTTAAAAGTCCATCAAAATGGGATAAAATTTTGTATACATCACGTGAGTTAAAATGTTTATTCATTCGAAGAAAATTAACCCACTCGCTAGGGCTCGCGGGTTAAACTTTCTTCTCATGAATAAACATTCATTTAACTCACTTGGCGTATAAATAACTATTAACACAACATTTCTTGACATAGGTTTCAAAGTCTGGTGGACACAACAACAACAAAAAAGAAAAACTTTATTTAGTAGGTATGTCAGTCAAATTAAGATAAATAAAGAAGGCAGATTTCCTTTTCTCTGGGTCCCTCCCATTTAAAGTGAGACAAACGATAACGCGTGTGGATTCTTCTCGTTTGATTTTTCACTCTAGTTTTGTTGAACCGCAATTTCATGTTGATGTAACGCAAGAAATCATAATACCTACATATATTAAATAAGTTAGGAAGGAGACAAATATGGCAAATGGCAACACAGCTTTTTTGCTGAAATGTATGGAAACAGTCTCATAGTTCAGGACACGCTTTAGAAAAATGTACAATATTTCCTCCAGCCCCCCTGGCGCCTATAAATCTTGAATACATAGGGTTGCCACCTTTTGATTTCTGAAAACCCGTACATAGGCCGAGTTCGTTTTTGTCATATTTTTCGTTGATTTGCTCTGAAATTTTGACCGGCACGTGACTGGATAAGACAGTTCCAAGTTACAAATCAGGTGCCTGTCAAAATTTTGGAGGGAATCGACGAAAAAGATGACAAAAACGAACTCGGCCATAATTGAAGCTTTTTTTTTTGTAAAGTCTGTTTTTTTTTTTAAGATAAAAGTCAAAATGACATTATGTTGGCAATACAATGTAAAATTGTCAATGCTTTCAAATTTTTTATGTAGAAAAGGCTTGTGTTGCCAACATAGTTACTAAATGAGTTCAGTTAAAAAAGCTATACCTTACTAACTTTTTCTTGTCTTTATTATTGTAGTTTGTTTTTGTTTTTGGTTTTAGTTTTAAGTTCTGCAAATGTGTACCATTTAGATATTTTTGCTCTGTAGTTGTACACTTAAATAAATAAATAAATTTTTGACTTTAGCATAATTTTTCACACTCATATCTGTAAAATGAATTTTTAGAGACAAATTTAAAAAGCTATCTACTCAATTTCAAACGCCACCCCTCGTAGTTACGGTCTATTTTAAAATAAAAAAAAAAAAAAAAAACAGAGACACTTGTAAGTGAACAGGGAAAACGACTCAATACATACATACTTATTGTTTTATTAGGCAGAAAAGCACAATATATAATGCCGCGACTAGTGTTCCATAGCCGAAAGCGAAGCGAGGAAACCAGCCAAGGCATTAAATCTGATCTTTTGCCATATGAAACATGTATCATTTTTTCTCCGAATTTGTTACAGTTACATCCGAGGTTACATCTGATAACATTTGTTGAATGGAAAGCAACGAACTTTTCTGCCTAGGCAGGAAATGTCCACTTTTCCGTCACTAACTGGAAACCGGAGACGTTTTATAAATTTTATATTAAGTATTAATTATTATTAATTATATCTATAGTTATCCAGATATTCCCGGACATTTTCATTTTGCGCCTGGACACTGGACAAACCTTTGAAAAACCGAACAGTCCGGGTGAAAACCGGACAGGTGGCAACCCTATGAATATATATTATCAGATTTTTGTTCTGCTGCCTATGTCATCAATGGTACTAAGGACTAAAATAAGGCATTGTGAGGGACTTGAAATTTGAACTACACAGCTCTTATGAGGATAGGCTTTCCTGTGTAGTATGTGATATCCCTGGATAGGATGACATATAATGGTTCTCCTAGATATAATACCATCTTAGCTGGGGAGTAGAATTTTAGAGCTATTGTACCTCAACAAACATTTCGTCAGGAAGTTGATACTAAAGTTGGCTCGATTCAGGCAAGACTTATGACATGGTAGGCAAAAATAAAAGTTAAGATCAAAATATTTATAATATAATGTTTATGATTTTTAAACTATAAAAACTCTTGTGTTTTTAAAATTGACCCTGTTGATAAAATAAACAGCAATAGCTTCATCGGTTTTTCCGCCTGCTATTTGGAAATATCAAATAATAATGTACCTCATTGTATCTTGAATCTTGAAAAGTTGTTTCTTTTTGTAAAGACTACATATACCAAAAGTAACTTATATTATATTAGATACTTTTCAAAAGTATCTTTGACACCTCTGGTCCACTTCATCTATAACCCAAACTAGAAATTCAAAGTCAAGGTAACAAAGGCTTGGCTTGAAACCGTTTTTTAACTTTGATTACATTTATATTCTCATAATTCAAAAGATTGCATGACTGATCTTTACCTGTATTCGCTCTAGGCCTATTGTAGTCAACAACGGGCTTCGTAAAATAGGGCTCCTCGTCTTCTTGTGACCCATGAAACCCCAACTTGTCCGGTGTTTTATCGAAAGTAAAGGCTTGTCCTTCCTTCATGGGCGACGATGGGGCGGTGTCAACCGATTTTTGTCTGTCCCTGGCCGGGCCCCCGCTTCCTGCGTTACCCATAACGAGTTAAAGTTTTAGTTATTTAAAAATATTTGAAGATTTTGCAAAAAAAAAATAGTTGAATGAAAAATATTTATTTATGATTTTATGGAATGTCAATAATTGTCAATGCCTGTGACAGGCTGACAGGTGACAAATGATGATGCCGGACACACAAGCCGTTTCCGTATGCACATTGGCGCGCTCTAGAGCACCTCGGGGGCGCCACGCGCTAGATTTGTACCAATGAACTATAACCAAAAACTGGAATGCTAACACATAAGGACGAACGTGAAGCCTAGTGCGGCTGCTGCGGAGGGGATACATTCCCAAGAATCGTAAACTCTACAGGATTGCTCAATCCTATTAAGACAAACGTTCATAAAAACATCGAAGATGGCGGTATGCGAATGACGTCACGCAGTCCTTGATCAGTTTGTGTTTTATTATGACAGTGCACTTTCCTTGCATTTTCAAACGTGAAAAATTGTTATTTTGAGGTTATTTCCTTTGAAAACTGTATTTTGGAATTAATTAATTAATTTTAAAATTAGCAGACTTCAAAAGTTTTTGTCCTTGAAGCTTGAGTGGTTGGCTAATTAGAAAGACGAGTTTGTTTGTTTTTGCTTATCAATTTTGCTATAGTGTGTTTTATTTTTTACTGCCCCTACCTATAACTTCTCAATTATTATTCAATAGTTTAATAGGTACTAGAACGAATTAATATGGACATTCAAAGTAAGCTAATTTCACAAAGCCGAATAGTGATACCTAATTTAGATTTTCATAATCATATTCCAGAAAAACACTGCAAGTTTCCCATATTTTCCATGCGTTTTCATAGTAAACGCGCCAGTAAAGGAATTTATTTACATATTTATTTATTCACTCTTCACAAACACTAATTTTTAGTAATTACATGCAAAGGAAACTTACAACTAAGTAGATATTTGATTTACAAAAAAAAGCAATACAAATGCTTGACTAGGAAATACTAACAGTAGAAAACTAGTAATACACACGAATAAAAGAAAGCGATGTCCTGATACAACAATTAATCCAGTACCTACTATAAAACCACTAAAACCAGAAAATGCTTGGGGTTTTCCCGAGTATTTTCAACCACGAGTCTTTTATGCTTACACACATTAAATGAAACTCTAAATTACACTTATAACACTTGATAAATCCGAATTTACGATAAAATATTTGTTAGCACAAACTGAACATCATTCGTATCAGCGGCCATCTTGAAGATCCGGGATGCACGTGACGTCACAGCAATTGTGAACAAATTTAGCCGATTGAGCAATCCTGTAGAGTTTACGATTCTTGCAACATTCCCCCTTGTGGCATCTATCTTTCATGGCTTCATTTTTTTGGCAGATATGGCAATGTGTGCGCATTCCAGTTTTTAGTTCATTGATTTGTACCGTTCCAGTATGGGCACTTTCCAAAATTCACCGGTTTCTGAACCGGTGCGATACCGGTTTAATAGTTTACTCACCAAACCGTTCCAAAATGTACCGAGTTTTTACCGGTTGAACAGATCGTCCGTTCCAAAATTGACCGGAATGATCAGCTGTTTGAAACCGGTGAGGCACCGGATCCACCGGGAATTTTTGTCGGTTTTTTCGGTTGGAGATTTTTTGACAATTTTTTTTTGACGTACATCAATTGCTTTGAATGGATACATCGGCAGTCGCACAAAACATCCCCCCTTAGAAATGTAAGTCTTATGAGAGACGTCAGTCTAGTCGTTTCAGCTTTCCCCTCCAATCACTAGAGGCGCTTCAATCAACCTATTAAAGTTTTCTTTTTCCTGCCGGACCGTGCGCCAAGATTTGAAGTTTATTTTGTCATTTCCAGTCGTCAAAATTTAAATTTTGAACTTCTCCCAACATTTAGAATTATCAATTACCTATCAATTATCAATAATTATTATCTCAAAATGTCTTCTCCCAGTTTGTTAATTGAAAAGCATCAGAAATGCTGTGTTCCGGGGTGCGGCGACAAATACAGCAGCTATTTCCGGTTTCCAAAAGATGCCGAAAAAATGAAACAATGGCTAGAAAAAGTTCGCAATCCTTTACTAAATAGCCTCAGTGTCGAGAAGGCTTATAATAATTATAGAGCGTGAACAAGACATTTTCCTCGAGAATTTATTGTTGGCGATCCAAAAGCCAGACGAGGACTCACATGGAATGCTGCGCTTTTGCAGTATCTCCCTGAAGGTAAGTTAATACTAGATATATGTGAGAAAGACGTACTTACATTTTCACTTATTCCTCCCCATAGTTCTGATTAACGACAACGTGTTAGAATTCGGGTTTAAAGGAGCATAGGTCAGAAACATTAAAATTAATTTTAATTTTAGCCCCAATTATCAAAAACAGTAAGGAGTCGTTAATTGATAAACCACAATCACCAAAATGGCAAAAAGTGGAGATCGACACAGTTGAAACTCGTCGAAGAGTCCTAAGACGCCTTCAGAAATTAGTTTCGCAACTATGATTGACATAGGTAGGTAAACATAATAACTCTGTTCCAACACGTCAAAAAATCGTCCCATGAACGGTTTCGAAACCACTCAGTATAACAATTTTAGTTTCTGCGCAGAATCGTGACGGTACATTGTACGGTTTTCTGCTGTGTTGGAACAAAGCTAATATTATTCATTTCTTTTTTTTAAATGTTTATTCCTTTATCAGGAGACACAATAATTAAAATATTCCTGGTTACATACAGGTACACCATATTCTACAATGCATGTATCCAAACTTTTTTGGTAAAATCGTTGGTAACGAAATTTCTGTTTTAGATCAACCAGGCCCTTCATGTCGTCAATTTTTATCTACTGAAACTTCTGCAATTCGGGCAGACATTGCTACACCAAGTGGAACCATAACATCTGCAAACATGAAAAAGTCACCAACCCACTTTGTCTCTTAAAACTTTTATTGGTAGGTACCTAAGTGTTATTGCTTAATGAATAACCACCCAGTTGGGAGTAGGTGAATTTTAAAACATCCTAACTCAAATAGGACTACTACTATAAAAGACTACTAATTACTAAAACTTGCAGTCGAATGCTAGAAAAATTAGAAGCTAAATGTGCGAAAAGCTCGTCTCCAATCTTGATCTATTTTTTTTTGCAGGTCATGAGAGACGATGCCAAATTTTAAAGAACATTAACGTCACTAGGCAAAAAATTCCTATCCCCAAGGGAAAAATATCTTTATTCCAAAGTTATAGAATCCAGCAATAAGTTAAGAAGAATCAGTAGAAGGTTGTCGTCATTTAAATCCAAAGTTTCTACTGCTGAATAACTTGCATCATAAACCAAATTTCAAAGGCTCGTAGACCACGTCAATCCATTGATATACAGCTTTATTTTAAGCCAAGTCCGTACTCAAAACCAAAAGCCTAAAGCTAGACGATTTACATTGGACGAGAAGTTGTTGGCGTTGTCTTTGCTTAAAGCTAGTGGTAAAGGGTATAGACTATTATCAAAAATATTTATTCTATCATCCAGGCGAAATCATTTTCTTGAATGAGCTTTATATTATGTATAACTACATAAACTTTCTACCTAACACATGCGGAAAGTGTATTTTCTGGACTTAAAGGCTTGTTTGAACTCTGCTTTTTGTTGTCATTCGTGCAACTTCCATCACGTGCAGAAACACTTTCCTCACTTGTTAGGTTAACAACGATTTTGGATTGTGAGAAAAGGACCTCTTTTGTCATTTTATTTACGATTTAAGTTTTTCATCAAGCTATTGTTAAATGTACGTCATTACTTCTTGTAACTGTCCTTATTATCTTTAACTTAACTAGCATTACCTACCTATGTATGTATACTTACATGAAAAAAAACTGTTTCGCAATAATTGTAATTAATTCCATATTCTTTAATATTTTCTGTTTCAAACTTTAATAAATATCTAAATTTGTCATCTTAATTTTTAGTCAATTTTACCTTGAAGGCGCTTCAACACTACCGATTTTATGAGTTTCTTCTTTTTGGCACAATTATTTTATGCCAAAAAATGGTAGAAACTTTAAAGTGGTGGTGTTCAATCGCTAGAATCAAACAATGGTGCAAACGATCCACCGGAACAAATAAGATACCGAACGAACCCTAATTGCGTTTTGCATTCGCCAATAAATCCAGAATTACAAAAGCTTACCCCCCCAGTCACTAGAGGCGCTGAAAACTTATAGACAGGTTCTCAACACGGCACTTACCTTTCTAAGGGGGGATGTTTTGTGGGCAGTCGTTCGTTGAATTGTCGCAACACAACCGTCACAACCAAACTTCAACACACCAAAGCATTCCAAAATGCATCAGAAATATCTTGTAACCGGACTAACACCTAACTTTTACTGGAATTTTTTGACAGCTACCGGTTTATTTAACCGGTCAATTTATCGGTGAAATTTGGAAAGTGCCCTATCATGGCGTGAGATGCCTGTCTTAGGGCGGGTATTATAAAACTGCTTTGACAGTTAACTTTTTGAATTACTTGTAATTCCAGAAACTTGAATTAAAATGGCCGCCAAGAGGCACACAAACCCTTTTTTTATGTGTCATTCAATGTGTCATGAAATTTTTTTCAAAAAAATAGTGCTCATTGTTCATTTGCGTTTTGATACTCGTTCTTTTTACTCGTATTTTTATTAATGTTAGAAATAGAACAGATCCCTAGGGCACTCCTGCAGTGATATCCAACCCCTCTGAAGTACTGCACCCCTAGAAGCAGTACTTCATGACAGACACAATCGAAAGCTTTTTTCAGGTCACAAAAAACTACCGCGGCCACTTCTTCGTCATTTATCTTCTAATACAGCTCATCCAGGAGATGAAATATGGCATCATCAGTGTTTTTTGACTGCTGAAACAGAGACAGAGAAAGCAATTTATGTCTATCAAGAAAGCTCACCATCCACCTTAATTAGCCACTCTACAATTTTAGTCTAAGTTGCCAATAAGGATATTGGCCGG